TTTAGATCAGTTGATGCAAGTTTATGATATGCTCTTTGAAATATCCCTTCTGTGAATATTTTAAATGCATTTCCTCCCATTTTCTTTGAAGAATATACTTTAAGAAAACTGAAGACACATTCTTTTCAGTTTGACATATTCTTTTGATAATCATTAATCCCTTTCCCCCCATTATTTCTAACAGAGATGAAAACTTGTGAGATTTTCTTGGCTTGCTTTCTTTTTTGTGCACCTTTGTCTTTAACAAAATCCAAGTGTATGAAGGATTATACCTCAGACGATAGCCAATATATAGGGGTCAAAACAAAGTTGTTTTTTTTTAAAGTATTGGCATTAAAAAGCTAACTGTTAGAGAAAATTAAAAGTAAATGAATAAAATCAGTGATATTTAGAATGTAAATAACACTGGTTACTTTATTAAAAGGAAACTTATTAGGTCAAATTAGGGTTTATATTTAATGCTTGGCAGAATCCCTTTAGGTTAAGCCTCTTTTAGTTAATTTGATCAAACCATGGATTTTAAATGCAAAATGACAACCTTATATTAATCCATATAAGCAACTTTCAAAAGAAAACTATGATGAGAAAAACATGCATTATGAAAATATTTTGTAATAGAAAGCATTCTGTAAGGTCACTCCTGTGTATGAGACAACGGAGCCATGTGATGGGATGATAGCAGAAACATTTCTGAAGTGGGAAAAGCTTCTCTGGTGGAAATGTCAAAAGAAATCAGAATCAACCTGTTGTAGAATTTTGAGATCATCTACATTAAGCATGAATCAGATTTGCATATTTATGCTATGCGATCAAATAAAACTGAATATCTGTGCTTATGCTCATGGTTCCTCCAACCTGGTTTACTTCATCCCTCTCTATCTTCGGCTCATATGCCCCCTTTTCTGGCCTCGTTTCTCTGGCTTTCTGATGACTCTATTTATAAAATATCCTGCCTGTTTAAGAATAGCAGCATTTAGAGTCCAAGTACGAGAATGTTGGACACACTTTCCTCTCTGAGAACCCTTAGACTACTTGACATTACCTCACCTGAGTGGTTCCTGTCATTTATTGAGTTCAGAATCTATAAATGAGTCTAACTCAATGGGAGCCATCTCCTGTAAGTTAGGGGCCCATGAGGTAACCTAACATAAAGTATTCTCCCAATAGAAATACCCAGTAATGCATGGTGCCTGGGTAATAACAATCAGGACTAACATCTGTTTAGTACTTACTAGGCACCAGGCACTGCTTGTGCAGCATAAACGTGCAACCAAAAGATTTGTCAGCTGCAACTGCATTGCTGACTGCTTGAGAAACGTTTCCAAACTTATAGGTAACAGCTGCAAAGGGTCCCCCCAAACTCTCCAAACTTCTCTAGCTGTCCTACTGTTTCCCTAAGGCCCTTGGTCCTGTCTACAATCCATGCACTAAATAGTTAACACCTGGTCCTGCAGAGCTCTCTTGAATTCTGCTCTAGCCTCCCAGCACTGCAGCACCCCAGGGAGCAGTCTTACTGACAGTATTCATTTAGGGAGCATTAAGTACTTGTGCTCTAGTGCCAAATGCCTGGGTTCAAATCCTAACTCTCCTATTTACAAGAAATGTGATTTGAAGCAAATTAATCTTTCTTTTTTACTCAGTTTTCTTCACCTCTAAAATGGGAGATGATAATGTATCTATCTCAAGGGATGGTTTTGAAATTAAATGCATCAATATATACAGAGCATTTAGAAGAGACTTGACTCATAGTAGGTACAATAAAAGTGTTATCACCTGAGGATATTTTTCCACTGATTTTTAGAGAGAGTGTAAGGGGGAGAGACAGAAAGAGAGAAACATTGATGTGAGAGAGACACATCAATTGGTTGCCTCCTGCATCCTCCCCAATCAGGGCCTGGATTGAACATGCAACCGAGGTGTGTGCCCTTGACCAGAACTGAAGCCAGGACCCGTCAGTCCGAGGGCTGACGCTCTATCCAGTGAGCCAATCTGGCCAGGGCTACAATTGTATTTTTTTTTTTTTATAACTCTTTCTTGTAGAAGGATTAAAACCATCTTAACTCCCCACCAACTTAAATTTTATCAACCCAAATAATGAGGACTATGGATCACCTGCTATGGATGAGGCAAAAGCAAAGACATAAAAACAAATAAAACATGATCCCTTTCATGAAGAATCCTATATAAAAGCCTAATATGCTAAGTGACTGGTCATCTGGCCATCTGTTTAACCAATCAAAGCGTAATATACTAATAATATGCTAAGGCCATTCAACCGCTCACTATGATGTGCACTGACCTCCAGGGGGCAGACAGTTGACTGGTCAACCAGTTGCTATGATGTGCACTGACCACCAGGGGGCAGACACTCCAACTGGTAGGTTAGCTTGCTGCTGTGGTCCAGCCGGCAAGATGTACCAGACATGCCCTGGAGCCCTCCCATAGTCCCTCCCTGGCTGGCCAACCTCCCGTGTCCCTCCCTGGCCCTGATCATGCATTGGTGGGGTCCCTCGACCTGGCTTGCACCCTCTCGCAATCCAGGACCCCTCAGGGGATGTTGGAGAGCCGGTTTCAGCCTGATCCCACAGGCCAGGCCAAGGGACCCCACTGGTGCACGAATTCGTGCACCAGGCCTCTAGTCTTACAATAAAGTACTGTGATGGAATTGAAGGCTTCCATGTGGTAAAGAAAGTGATTCAGGTTGTTCAGGGATTAGTAAACTCAAATTCCAGGCAGATAATGGAGAGACATGATGGGCTAGATGGTGAACACCAGAGCTGACACCCCTTTCCAAGAAGGAGCCAACATGTGGCTCTAGCCAGTCATTGCCATGACAAAATGTGGCCCCAGTGATGCCAGTTTTCCAAATCTCCAAAGAATGCCAGAAATCTGGATTTTTATGTTAAATTTTATAATTTTTAAATATTGGCAATTAAACTATAAAGTAGAGAGTAAAGAAGAAAAGAAAGTTTCTCAATTACCACATAGAAGATCTCAAAAAGACTGGAATGCTGCTCAGAGTATGCAGAAGTTCTAGAGGGCCCCTGGGTAGAGTGATAGCTGTAATGACCCTAATTTTTCCCCAGCAGTGGTATCTAGAATGATATTGAGAGATGTTGGTTGAAATATTTAACCATTAGCACAGCTAGTAAAAATAACAACAACAAAAATACAACTTTAAAAGAACATATAATTGAGGAAGTTGAGTGAACAAGTTTTTATGAGTCACACAGATAATATTAGAATTGGAACTCCATCTAGTTCAACTGTCAGGCTGTGGTGATGTGGGAAGTTCCTTAAATAATTCCCATTCTTCCTTGGCAGTTATATGACCTAGAACAAATCACGTAACTCCTGCAGACCTATTTCTGCCTTGGCAAAAGTATAGGTAATAGCAAATGTTCCCTGCGTGTTTTGTAAGTACTAAGTGAGACATAATATTGTCTGGTTATGAAATGCTAGTAAAATGTTAATATACTTGCTGAGTATGATTGTTTTTATGGTGGTGATTCTAGATGAAAATACAAAGGCTCCAGAAGGACTTGCTACATAGTTGAAAAGTCAGAATTAGAACCCAAACCACATGAATCCTGGCTCATAGGTTTTTTAATGAAACATCATTCATATTGTAGCTGACTGTAATTGAAAGATTAAGGAGAATAAAAATACTCCACTTGAGGCAAGATAAACCAGGGATTCCCCTAAATTTGTTTCAGTTATTATAGCTATGCCTATACTCTGATTATCCTAGTATAGAAGAGAAAGTCAAAAGACTGAACTAAAGGTATTCTTCATTTGATGAAAACTTTTGATTTGAATGTCTATTATGGAGTTAGAGGCATGTCCTATGACTTAGTTCTTGGGATTTTGTTGGTGCAATTCTCAGGTTAGTAACTAGGTGAATTGTCTTTGTTGTTTTCCTGAGAATCTTTTCTTTTTGGTCCGGATTACCTGAAGACAGGTGAATGTTACAAAAGTAAAAATTGTACCCCCTCTTTCAGTCTCCAGAAGCTGACTTGCCTTGGCTTTATTGATAAATGGGGACAATTGTGCCTCAGCAGTGACTCTGGTCATGTATTTATATAACTCGCCCCCAGATATGAAACTTCTCAGGACATGCTCTTCAAAAAAGACAATAGCTTAAAACATTTTAGAATGTAGTTTTTGACCCTGACTCTGCCACTTTTCTTTCCTCTGAAACCATAATGCTATTGTATAACAACATTAAACATACCAGAGTTAGCTTAAAAAAGCACAACACGTCAATTTTTTTGTGTGTGTCCTGGGACTCAGGGGTGATTCTGTCCGCTGCTGGTATGAAAACCCTGAAGCTCTTCACCTCTAGCCCCTGCTGGAAATAGGCCATGTCAAGTCTATCAAGGGATCCTTGCAAAGATTATAACTAGAGTGTAGGAGGTTTGGTTATTTTGTTTAAAAATCTTTTTCTTTACATATCAAGCTATATGACAGTTTAGGGATGACAGTTTTACACTGTAAAACACAGTTACAGAATAGTATTTCATGAAGTGCTTTTTTGAAGTAAAGTAAATTTTGATGCAATAAGTTTGAGGTAAGAAAAAAGAGAGAAGAGAATCAAATCTCAGGTACTTATGCCTCTGGTCAAAGACATTAGAGATGCTAAAAAAGAAGACTTTTGGGCTGACATGCAAAATTATTAAGGAATAAATAATGTAAAATACCCCAGAGTATAAAGTAAGAATAGAAATCTTGACTAGTTGGACAAGATCTTAATTTATTTCATGATATTTTCCAAACCACATGTGTAAGGTGATATAGAATATCCAGCTTGTCAGCAGAATGTTGGGCTTTGTAATTTTAAGTTATTCAATTGGATGTGGAAATGACAAAATTTACCTCATTATAAAAGTCTCCTATATTAATTTTAAAATTTAGCTCTCCAATCATCATACTTTCTTGACAACCAAATTTGGTTGTGTGCATGATCTGTTATTGGACTTTTTGTTTATTAACTATTACAGGATTCAAGAGATGAATGTAATGTGACGGAAGGCAGCAGGATGAGTAAATTAAGAAGGACAAGAAAGAAAGTCACTAAATCACATATTTCTTCAACTGAAATAGGAGAAATGGATATGTCCATCTCAAAAGGTAGTTTGTACAACTGTTCAGCTAAGAGCATGAGACACTTAATCTCAAATATCTTGCTACCATTATCTCTCAAGAATATGTCATCAATGACAATCTCTATTTGGTCCACATTTTCATAATACATTTGCTTTTCTTCTATGGAAGAAGCAAAAACAAATAAAATTTATTTGTACAAAGTCAACATAAAAGATGGCAAATACAGGGTTACAATGTAAATATATAAAAACAATCAGCCAAAATATTCAGAATTTAAAGGGGGAAGAATGAGGAGATACAGTGGGATAAAAAGAGAGAATATAAAAGAAGCAACACATAAGTAAGAAGAGAAGCACATTTCTGTTCTGAGAATGAGCACAAAGATCGTTACTGAAGATTGGGGAGGCCACAGTAAAGGTGGAGGCACGTTTTCATACCACATGTTGGAATTCCAGCTGGACTCTCATGGGCCTGAAACAGTGCTGAACCTAGGAGTTAGACTGGACAACAGGCTCCATTCTAGGAGCAGTGGTGTTTTCCAAGGCAGGCCAGTAGGAAAGGGCAGTGCATGGCAGCAATCAAAAGCAGTCAGACTTTCTATAGATTTTTAAAATTATTTTTAAATTTTCTAGAGACATTGCACCCCCTTATGGCCTGCAACCAGGGTGTACTATGCTCACTGCCCTTTATTTGGCATTTTACCGCCTAGGAATAAATTATTTCCTCAAGCATTTCTCTCCATATCACATTGGAAGACAGCTGAAAACAATGGCAACATCCCTTAACATTTTTCTGTATTACTACAGAAAGGATCAAAGAACAAATGGTGTGTCACACATTAGGGGATACGAGCAACCCAGCTGTGGGACCTGGCTCTGATGAATCGCATCCGCAAGATGACAAGGACTCCCAGGATCATACAGCAGAGATGAAACCCTCACCCCTCAAAACATCAGCCAGGGCTCCTGGTAATGAATTCAACGCAGACTCCAGCTGTACTGGTAAGGACTCTGGGACAAACTGGCATATAGTTCCAGCCACTAGTCCTAAATGTGTATGTGAATTAGAGATAATGTGATGTTGGTTGAGGAATGCTAGCCTGGGAGTCAGAATACTTAAATAATTTATACAGCTATCATTGATAAAAGTGCTTTACAGTTTTCTTTACACACAAGGCTGCTCATCTAGAAAATGGAAAGGTTGTAATGGATGATCTCTCAAGTCTTCTAAAAGTGAAATTCTGTTATTCTAAATTTATGGCTTATTAATAGGGATACGGCTAATTCGGACTATGAATGTATTAGTTAAAAATCTCTGAGATCCAAATGACAGAAACTAGTTAAAAAGAGGTATTTTTTTCTCCCCATGAGGGAATCAATGTTGAAAGGATTGAACAAACAGGTTTGGAAAGTAAGGAAATAGCTGTTTGTGACGTTAGAGGTACAGTATCCACCAAACAACGCTTACTTCTGACACTAATTGCATATTTGGGAATTCCCCAAAATTAGTTTTGATAATTCACTATAAGGACTCACAGAACTCACTGAAAGTGATTATACTCAAGGTTATGGTTTATTATTGTGAAAGAATACAGGTTAAAATCAGCCAAGAGAAGTAACTCATGGGGGGAGTGCAGGAAAGTTCTAAGCATAGAGCTTCCACTTGCCTTCTCCCAGTGGAGTCATGGACAACACTATTCTCTCGGCAACAATGTGTGAGTGTTGTAACCAGGGATGCTCACCTGAGTCTTGATGTCCAGAACCTTTATTGGGGTTCCACAGCCAACTGGCCATGTGACTGACCTGAGTCTTCAGTCCTGCTGAGGGTCAAGCTGATACCCCATGACTCAACAATAAATGACATTGCTAGATATTCTAGTGGGGCCAGAAGCTCCCGGTAAATTACTCTTGTCAGGCCGGAAATTCCGAAAGCTTAGAGATGACTTCCCAGGGACCAGAGGTAAAGGCCAGTGCTCTTCTTGGGCAAGGGGAAATTCTTTACTACACACAGGGCCTGAGGAGGAAGTAGAGCCTGGGAGTGAACGCTGTCAGGACTCCATATACATTAGTTTTCTATTGCCAGCATAACAAATTACCACAAACTTAGCATCTTGAAAGAACACAATTCATTATCTCAGACTTCTGTATGTCACAAGTCTGGGTTGGCTGAGCTGGTTTCTCTTTTACAGGTTTTGCAAGGTCAAAATCAGAGTGTTGGACCTCTAGCTTCTTAGCCAGAGATTCCAGGGACTATCCACTTGCTGTTCATTGAGGTTGTTGGCAGAGTTCATTGAGGTTGTTGGGAGAATCCAGTTCCTTACAGTTGCAGGACTGAGGTTCCTATTTCCTTGCTGGCTGCCAATTGGGGTGGCTCTTAGCTCCTAGAATCCTCTCTCTGTTTCTATATCTCTCAGCCAGCAATGCCTCAAATCCTTCTCGTGTCTGGAATCTCTCTGAATTCCCCTTCTTCCGCAAAATAATATTTTTTTTCTTCCTACAATTAGAGAAAGTTCTCTGCCTTTAAGGGCCAATATGGATAATCCATAACAATATTAATTTTTAAGGTTTGTACATAACCTTAATAACATCTGCAAAGTCCATTCTGCCATACAGTTTGATGTAATCTACAGGTTCCAGGGTTTATAGTCTGAAAGTCTTTGGGAGGCCTATCACACTATCTCCCATCTCTGCATTTCTCTGCGCTTTTTGGTTTCATGAATTTCTCCATGAAAAGCATGGGCACTGACAGCCCCTAAACATCAGGGATCATCAACACAAGTGGCACGGGCCCGGTAAAGAATACAAATGCGCGAGGTGGGCCGGTATAAGAAGACAGGAAGCGGGGCTGGCTGTGAGAAACTAGAGTAGAGGGTGACGAACGATAGCCCGCGGGCCAAATTAGCTTGCGAGCTGGTTTTTGTAAAGAATCTTTATGTATTGTCTATGGCTGTTTTTGTGCTACAATGGCATAGTTGAGTAGTTGGATAGCATTTGGCCTGCAAAGTTGTAAATATTTGCTGTCTGGCCCTTTATAGAAGGTATTTGTCAATCCACGAACTAGAGCATGCATACACCACTCCAGGCCACCTCAGAGCTCCAGCCAATGGTTGCTGTAAAGACATATCCGTCTAGTATTTCAAATCGAGTCTTATCAAGAAAAGCTTGAGCTCAAAATCTCTATATGAAACTTTCTGATCTTTGAGTGTCAACTCATTCAAAATATTCTTCAAACACTGGGAAGACTAATTCAGAAACACCTGCCAGCCACATTGGCTCTTCCACAGCCATTTGTAACCTTCAGCCAAAAAGGGGGATGGAATTTTTCATGGCTTAGTCTCAAGTCAAAAAATCTGAGGAAAGAATTTGTGTCATGAGCTGTCTCTGCACAAATCAGCGAGGTGCTTGGGTACCATTACTGACATAATTTAGTTAATTCAGAAGCTCCCTCTCTGGCCCTGGGCAGGATGAAGTTTTTAAAGCCCTAAGCACCAAAAAGTTTACAAACCCAAACAAAACACATTCATGTGTATTTTAAATTAATTTAAAATTAAATTAATTTAAAATTAAATTAATTTAAAATTAAATCATAAAAAATAACCCCCCAAGTAAGTGCAAGGAATTTCAACGTTGTATTTTCTTCTCTATAATACTTACTCTGAATTTTCATATGTATATGAAAAGTTCCTCCCTCTCCCCCACCCACATTTCTACATTTTATTGTTTCTGTCTCCGCTTTGTACCAGGTTATTCTGCCACCTGGGCTTTCCAACACTGTGGGGGCTAGCACAAGGGTGGGGTACATTTGCACTAGCAGGGTGGCTCTCAGAGGGGACATGTGGATAAAGAGGAGCAGGCCCTGGGAAGGGAACGTGGCAGACTATCCCCGGCATTCCATAAGCTGAATGCTTATAGAGTGCACTTTCTGAATTAATATTTCTGAAAGCCCACATGCCTATAATCTGCCTTTTATAAGTGACTATGGCTTGCTCACTACAACTGAACTATGTCCTTGTTGTCACTGAACACAGCCTTCTAGTTGCTACAGAGCTTGGAGATTTTATGTTTTTTTGTATGCATTTTCTGATTTCTTCCCCCTAAACATTCACACTGGTAAAATTTCCTCTAAAAAGCACACTGATTTAATTTATTAGTCCTCTGAGGGGATGGAAAAGGAGAACACCTCCCAGGAACCACACTGTAAGAAAAACAAATGAGACCCTGAACTAGCAATTATCTGCCTGCTATTCATCATGGGCATCTAGGAAGGGCTGACCAAAAGGTTTAATTGTAACTAACAAGTATGATTTATTTGAAGAAAAGAAATTCAGACAATGATGCAGCAAGATTAGTTACTGCCTTAAAAATGAAATTAGGTTGGATAGGGTTCTCATAGTTGGTGAAAGAAATGAACTTTCAAATGAAAAATGGATACTTAGGAAACATGCCAAAATATGTGATGTCAATTTTTGCTTCTTAATTAGACAAGGTCAAATCACACAGCATGCATTGATGAATGAATGAATGAATTAATTGACTCACACACCTGCTTATGAAAGCCATCCAGTGCCTATGATATGCCTGTACTGCTACAGGTACTAGGGTTACAGCAGCAGGTAAACCTCATCCCCAGGTTTCTTGGAGCTGACATGCAAGTGGGAAAGACAGGCAGTAACATGTGTCATACAATATGCAGGTGGTGATGAGGACTCTGAACGAAACTAGATCAAATTTGTTATGGACTAAATTGAATTTCCCCGAAATTCACATGTTGAAGTCCAAGCTCCAAGTACCTATAATGTGACTGTACTTGGATATGGGATTTTAAAAGAGGTAATTAATGTTGAGTGAGTTGTGTAGGGTCTCCCCTACATCCAATATGACCGGTGTCCAGTATGACTGTGTCCTTATAAGAAAAAGAGATGAGGACACACACACACATAGAGGGAAGACCATGTAAAGAGGACATCTGTAAGCCAAGGAGAGAGATCTTCAGAAGAAACCAACCCTCCTGACACCTTGACCTTGGACCTTTACCCTCTAGAGCTGTAAGAAATAGATTTCTGTTAAAGATACCTGGTATTTGCTATGGCAGCCCTAGCAAACTAATACATATACTCACTATCCAGCCATAGAGAAACTTGGTGATCTTCAACCGAATCGATGGTTGGACCTGTGCACATTGTGATCAAATCCCATAGAATTGATATTCTAGGTGATTATGTTTTATTCATTTTTCACCACAAATTATCTCAGCTTTGCATTCAATGGCATGTTTATTGTCTACAGTTCCCTCATTCAATAATATAAAGCTGTATGAGGGCAGGGATTTTTCTGCAGCTCCCTAGACTATGTCCCGAATAAATAGTAGTGGTAACTAAAAAACAACAACAATCTATCTTGAGTGGATTGATATTTTTATTTTTTTAAAATAACACATTTATTGTAGAAACTTTGAAGATACAGATAAGGTAAAAGACTAATAGGATTACCTGTAATCTGACATTCTAACTTTTTATGTTGTTAAAATATGGGAGTGGGGAGAAGGAGAGGTTATTGGGGAAAAATGAAGAAAAAAAGGGGGACATCTGTAATACTTTCAACAATAAAGATAAATTAAAAAACAACAAACTAAATTTGTAGCTTATATGTAATTGCTCATGACGTTTAGAATCCCGATTATCTGAAAATTTCCCTATTTTAACATGCTTATAAATTTTATTTTCTTTAAGGAGAATTATTTAACTTGGGCTGAATACCCAATCATTCAGAATAGGTTGGGAACACAGCAACTGCTAATTTAGCATGAAATACTGTAATTGCTACAGCTTAATTGTTTGTGTTAAATGGAAGGTAGTAATAAACCCTCAGGAATCTCAGTGTAGCCAAATGTATCAGTAACAGGACATTATCTCTAATATATTTGCATAGGTGAAACCAGTAATTTGTTTTCCTCATGCTTCATGTACTTTAAATCTACTTGATCTATATTTTAAACTGTCCATCTTTATGCTTATTTTTAAAGCCCAATTATATGTCAAAAAGGATACTCAGGTATCACTTTAAAATTAAAGCTGCTCACTGTCAGGGATGTGACAGGTTGATGGGTATTCGATTCACATATGATCACAGTACCATTACTAGACTTACAGTAATGGTGCTTACTGTATGCCTTTAAGAAGCACTGATATGGTGTTTACTATCTTCCAGGAACTGTTAAATAACTTGTCACAACAAGCCTGTGCTATAGGCTTTCATCATCATAGCAAGCCTATAGGTGTATTGCATCAATGGGAATGCTGAGGCACAGAGAGCATAAGTCTTTGGGGTAAAGGCAGGATTTGGAGGTTGGCAGATGAATCCCTACAGTCTGCTGCCTCTCCAAAGGTGCGGACGGCAGATAACATTTGTGATGGGTACTGTGTGCCTGACCCTTCTATGTGCTTTATAACTCATCACCATAACATTATATATTCAGTCATTTTATGGTGATGCGTTACCCACTGGAAACCGAAGGTTCAGATTTTGGTTTCAGTTTTGGCAATGAGCTGGGAGTGTGATTTGGGGCACCTCGTACCTCTCTGGGACTCAAGCTAATGAGTTGATTGGATTAGATGATTTATCCTCCAAAGTCTCTTCTAATTGTAAAGTTTTAGAGTTTGAAGACTATTTTAAACGTCTTGAAAAGAACAAAAAACTTTTTTGGCTTCTAATTTTAGTGATTATTGGTACCGGGGGGCGGGGGGGGGGGTTCTGCCTATACCTCTTTTGTCATTCCATCTTTTGTTTTCTGGTTGCTCTAGGTTTCTAATGTTAAAATTGAGTACTCAGTCTAGATATTTCATCTCCTACACTCTCATTCTTGAAAAATTATTTTGTTTGCTTATTGACACAAATTTTAAATTTGACAGAAAGATGTAGATGCCTTAGATTCAGACATTTTAAAGATATAAAGCCCTTTTGGCAAACAGAACAGAACAAAACAAAACAATCCCAGAACTTTTAATTTAGATATTACCAGTTCAAGGAGCTCAAAGTGTTTTCTTTTCAATGGTAGTCATCTATATACAGATTTATATGATGCCAAAGCTGTCTAATTATGCAAATATATTCTAATTTCCATAAGCAAAGGCATTTTCAGTAAGTATTTACATATGATATTGCTATGTACTTATGCAAATGACGTTAACTTTCACCTAGTCCCAAGTGATAAACAATCTCCTAGGTCCTTTAGAGACAATGTTCTTGGGAATACGTAAGGTCAAGTAAGAAAGGTAAGATTTCTAGCTCTAAGCCAATGACACGAATGTCATAGTTAATAATCATAAAGAATAATCCACTGCTATCCAGCCTCCTTTTGCTTCTCATTTCATCATGGTCTAATGCTTTAGAACCATTCTCTGTTTTACAGATGACACTGGGGACAGCACACAAATTCTGAAGGTACCTCAACTCTCCTCTAGAATGAAGCACATTAAAAAAGAGATGGCCAAAAATCACCTTCAGTTTGTGCGATTTGAAGCAACAGATCTCCATGGGGTGTCCAGGTCTAAGAGTATCCCTGCACACTTCTTCCAGGTGAGTTTTACAAGTAGAGTTATGACTGAATGTAATTTCATGACCATTAGCAAGCCAATGGTCCTTACTACTCTTTCTTATTTTATTGTAATCTACACAGCAAGTTTAGCTGAAAACCAATACTTCATTTTGTTTCTTCTCTTGTTCCTTCCCAAACACATTATTGCTCCCCAAGGAGCTGAACACATAATTTCAGCTCCCAAACAGCCATTCCTTTACCCAATAGAAATATAAAACTAATTAAGACTGGTAATTTTAGTCCTTCTGCTTTGAATAATTTCCCTCTACAGAATTATCTTTTCTCTCTTACTGCAATTATGAAGATTATATTTTGTTTGACATGAGAAAATTGCAACAGAAGACCCAGGAGCAAATATAAAAGGGGGAAAAAATAATTAAATAGAAAGAATTTGCTAGATAAAAAGCATATCCCTTTTGGCTTCTATTTCTGATAAGAAAATACTCTATTGTTGGATGACTTAATGACTATTAAGTTCTTTAAAATAGTGATATTAAGAAATATTGTAGTTTTGGATATGTTCTAAGATTTTAAGATTTTTTTCAGTTTATATCATGTCTTCATTTTAATGACAGGTATATTGTGCAACTGAAACATTACTTTTTAGGAATGAGACATCAGTCAATCTTATATAAAAAAGATAATTGTTAAGCCTGCTCTAAATTAAAAAATATGTAATTGTTATCACTGTGATATCAAATTGTAGTTTTTCTCATAGGCTTTATGCTGGAAAAAAACTGGGTGTCTTCAAAACGCCTTTTAAAACAATTGTTAACAGATTCAAATTTGTTTGGTAAGAAATTACTTAGATCAGCCTGCAGATGTTGTTTCCTCTTTATCCAGGCAAGAGCAAATGTTGGTTACTTTTGATAACAAAATGTGAAATTTACTGTGGATAGGCCCAGGATCTAATTCACATGACTTTCTTTCAATCAATAAGAAACCATAACTGGCACTTCAGGTACTTGCCAGAGACCTCAATATAAAACTTTTTGTTACTCAATTTTTGCCAACTTCTAATCATTTATTCTACTAATGGCATCTGAAACTACATTTTTAAAACCTTACTTTAGTTCCTCAATGGAACTCCTTTATGAAAATATAATTTAATATGTTCCCTGTATTTGCTGAGCATTGATACAATTGATGTACAGAGAAAATTTCTGCATTTTATTTTTTTTATTGCTATTGAAAATATTTTCCATTATCTTATTCAATGTCTCACATATAAGAACCACTTTTATTTTTCTGGAGTTTAGATAGGGCAATTGCTATTTATTCTTAACCCCAGTTTTCTAATACATTTCATTACCATTATTATTATTTAATGATTGTACAGTAGTTTTAACAAAACAACTCAAATTTATTTTGGAACTTTTGAAGGTATAAATGAGAATGAGTATTTATGTGTAGCATGAATATTTATACTTTAAGATTAAATTGATTTTGGAACATTTATCATGACTACACATTAAAAACAGGTTAATCTGTGTGAACCAATGTTTACCTTGTGTGTCTGTCCCAGCTGGCGTGGCTCAGTGGTTGAGAGTTGACCTGTGAACCGGGAGGTCATGGTTCAGTTCTCAGTCAGAGCACATGCCCAGTCTGCAGGCTCAGTCCCCAGGGGTGGGGAGTAGGGGAGAGGGGCATGCAGGAGGCAGCCGATCAATGGCTTGGCCTATTGTAATCCCCATAGTTAACTGCCTCTCAGAAGTCTACAGTAAAGAATTGGAAGTCCTTCTCAGTCCTACAATACACACCTGAGCAGCCAGGTCTGCTCACCACTGATGTTTCTATCTCTCTCTCCTCTCTCTTCCTCTCTAAAATCAATAAAAATATATTAAAAAAAATAAACATTGTATGTTTGTATATATATAAAGCTACCTGTATATGTATAGACATACAATTCTGTATGGGAAATTCGTTAAATAAAGAGTGGAGTCAATAATTTGAATTTGCCAATGGCTTAGAGAAAAGTAATTTTAATCTTTGTAAAGTAGTTAAATTTTTTTTTTCTATTTGGGGAAAATAAAGTATCAATTTGAGAGTTATTGTTAGACCACGGAAAGATATAACATAATCTAATCCATTGACTTCATTTATAGATGAGGAGAGTAAGGCCCAGGGAAGTTAAGGAAAGCTTTTAAAAAAATAGTACAGGCAGTTAGTGGTAGAGCTGGGACATTAGTCAGTGATTCTTCTCTTCCATTTCCACTGCCTCTTTTTTTTTTTTTTTTTTTAACTGCACCTTCTGCCTCGAGCTCTGCTTTTATATTTCCTTTTATTGTTAATTTGAGCTAAGTGTTCTTTCTTATAAAATTGAAAAAAAATTGATTTTTTTTTTTAAACAAGCCATCTACTAAGAGTAGAGGAAAAGACTGTTATATAATTGGAAAAGGTCAAATGGGGAACCTCTGAAAATGATGGTATCTACTTTTTAGAGAAAACTCACCATGTGCCCGGCACTATGCTCAATGCCTTACCAATATTAGTTTATTTAAACCACGCAACCAACTTATACTATCTGCTCTATCAAAGGATTAGTTTTTGTTTAAATTGTATGCAGATTCTTTCTATCTTTGACTTAATCAAAACATGATATAGAACGCATGATTAATTCTTTGGTTGTTTCAAAAGGTGACCTTTAATATGGTCCAAATGTCAGTGATCATAGAGATTGGAGCTATTCTGTAAGAATTTTTATTGATTCGCTGGTGATTTATATTGTGGTGTGAAATTGCCCAACTGTTTATATTTTTAAACATAATGTAAGATAACAGTTGTCATGAACAAAGTCTGTGTGTATATACTTATGTATTTCCCACTATTAAGAAAGAGTAGTTTGCATTCTGAATGTTCATAAAAGAATAAAGAAAATGACAGTTTAAAAAGAGTGCTCAGAAAAACACAGATTAAATAACCTGAAAGGTAAAGTGGTACTTTTTACTATTCTTTAAATTCATGAAGAGTAAAATGGTAGCAAGCTGTTCTCTATTGTTCACAATCAAGTGCATGCAAACACAGATTTAAATTGCAGAAACTCTTGGAAGTCTCATGAATAAAATACATCCCTCCTCATTTTAGATACAGTACTAACATACAGATTTTCAAACTAAAAAATTGACGAGTTCGGGAAATCACATTATTTCTTACAGCAAAAACTTGAATGAAAGGATTTCATACTAAAGTACCCTAAAATCCCATAATGTGTTTATGTGTGTAAAGTTTATATAGACAAGTCTATGAATGACTTAAAAAATTAGGCAGCAGATGAGTAGTGCTCACCTTACTCAACATTATTACTGCTAAAGCCTATTTGGATCAGCCAAGTCAAGTGGCATTTGAAAGTATGTGTAGAGACAGTGGAGAGTGAAGGAGGCAGTGGCTCACAATCAAAGGCAGAAGAGTGGCTTAGTAGATTGTGTCTGCTAGCACCAACACCTCCTTGGTAGCCATGCTTTTGGGGTTTGGAGGTAATATAGGAAACAATCTGGCTTGCAGAATGGCAGTACGTTTTATTAACCTCAAAAGGCTCACTGGCATCATGGGAACCACACTTTCTAGTCGGCTTTTTCCTCTGTCCATTAATGTAAACTTCCACACATGAAGCCTTGTTGATATTCCTATTACACCATTTCTAGAAATTGGGTTTTTGTGTGTGTCTGATTGACTTTATAACTTCATTACTTTCCTGTTGTTTGGCACATAGCAAAAGTTAAATAAATGACCTAATCCATGAACCCAAGAGGGTATAGGGCTAAAAAGTACCTTAGCTATCACCTAGTCTAGCTTCTGTTTCATAGACACGGATGCCGAGGTACATAGTCCAAGTTGCCTAACTTCACACAAATAATTAATGGAAGAGCCAGGACTAGAATCAGATTTGGTGAGCCCCAGTTCATGCTGACTTGAAAGCTACAACATTTTGGAAGCGGTAACGGTGGAGACACAGGTCCACATTCACAGGCAAGGCTTCTGGGACTCTGTGCGACTGTGAGGTAGCTCATTCTTAGAGGGATGTAAAAGTGAATGAAGAGAGGAATGTAGCTGTCAGCAGACCTGGCTTCTCAGGTGTGTGTTGTAGGACTGACTACACTCAGCTCTCTGAGGACTTCCAATTCTCTACTGTAGACTTCTGAGAGGCAGTTAACCATGGGGATCACAATAGGACAAGCCAAAGGCAAGCCTTATCCGAAGCGTTAGGAACTATGCCATTATATAAAAAGAGCTTTGGAAAGTACTCTTGGTCACGACCATTTCAAATAATTCCATAAGGCTTTACTTGACCTTTGTCATTTGCTCTAAAGGCATTTTCCTAATCAGCATACCTTTTACTTATGACGGCTATCTTCAGATTCCAGAGCCTATGAAGCCTTTCAAGGCTAACAATAATGAGTTGTTTATAAAAGCACTATTGGGGATTTCTTTCAAGAAATTAAAATTAAGTTAATGTTAACTAATAGATGTTAAACACATTTTTCCCCCTTACCACCCCTCCCTTCCCCATTTATGTTTGCTTTCAAGTTTCAAAACCTTGATTGCTCTATCCTTTAACTTTAGGAAAAAGTGACCCACGGAGTTTTCATGCCCCGAGGCTATCTCGAATTGATGCCGAGTCCTCAGGGCCACGAAGTGGATCACATAAGAGCCACATGCTTTAACAGTGACATCGTCCTGATGCCCGAGCTGTCCACCTTTCGGGCGCTGCCATGGGCCGAGAGGACGGCGAGAGTGATCTGTGACACGTTCACGGTCACGGGCGAGCCCCTGCTGACGTCCCCGCGGTACATCGCCAAGCGGCAGCTGCGCCAGCTGCAGGGCGCGGGCTTCTCCCTGCTCTCTGCTTTCCTCTACGACTTCTGCGTTTTCGGGGCGCCCGAAGTGATCAATTCCAAGACCATATCCTTTCCCGCTGCAACCTTGTTCAACAACCAGCACCAGCCCTTCATCCAGGAGCTCGTCGATGGTTTGTGCCGCACCGGAGCCCATGTGGAGAGCTTCTCCTCCTCGACCAGGCCCGGGCAGGTGGAAATCTGTTTGCGGCCCGAATTTGGCATCGGTTCAGCCGACAACGCGTTCACCCTCAGAGCAGGCGTCAGAGAAGTGGCCCGGAAATACAACTACATCACCAGCTTTTTCATCGAGACTGGCTTCTGCCATTCAGGAATCTTGTCTCACAGTCTCTGGGATGTGGGAGGGGAGAACAATCTGTTCTGCAGCAGCCCCGGCCCCGGGCCGCTCTCCGCCACCGGGAGGCGATGGGTGGCCGGACTCCTGAAACACGCGGCCGCGCTCAGCTGCCTGCTGGCTCCTGCCCGCAGCTGCCGGAAACGCTACTCCAAGGAGAGCAAAGAGCAGCAGGAGGGCGTGCCCACAACGTGGGGCTACAATGACAACAGCTGCGCCTTTAATGTCAAGTGTCACGGGGAGAAGGGCGCCCGGGTAGAAAACACGCTGGGCTCCGCCACGGCCAATCCTTACCTGGTGTTGGCCGCCACCGTGGCAGCAGGTCTGGACGGACTTCAAAGCCGCGAGGGCGCCCTGCCCGGCCCCGAGGATGATGACAGCCCTGAGCTTTACCCGTCAAAGCCTCCTGAGATCCCTTTGAAGCTGGAAGATGCCCTTGTGGCGCTGGAGGAAGACCCGTGTCTGCGACAGGCTCTCGGAGAAACTTTCATTCGGTATTTTGTTGCCATGAAGAAATATGAGCTGGAAAATGAAGACACAGACGCGGAGAGAAATAAATTCCTGGAGTATTTTATTTAGCATGGATTCCCTTCCCGATTCCTTTAGAGATGCGGGTTTGTGACCTCAGTAGCCGAGCTAGCAGAAAGAAAAGACGGCGCGTTTGTAATGAACAAGGAGATTACAAGTGCTGTCGCTCTTCTGTTTTGTCGCCATGGAATGGCTGACAGACGAAGTGGGCTGCTGAGAGGACGCTGATGACAATAAAGTTGCCGTGGGGCTGTGCTACGCAAACTCACCATGTCTTGTCCAGGGGGTCATCATTTCCTGTGGATGTTGACCTCGATCAAATATTCAGTTTTTTTTTTTCTTCAGGCAACAAGTATATTCACACAATAAAAATGTCTTAAGAATTAGAAAGCAAAATTTAATCACTTAAAAATAATTTTGATTATACAGATAGGTTGTGACTGCCAGGGAGACAAATAGACTGGGAGTATAATCTCATGGATCACGACATACTGGGGATCTATTTTGCAAGCCTCATTGTGATGTTTCCAAATAAGTTAAATAAGTTTGGCAAAAAATATGTCATGATGACAAGTCAGCAAGAGTGTTCCCATATGTCCCTTCTCTTTTTACCCTTCTTCATCAGCAACTATTCAAAGGCCAAGGAACTTCAAGGCTTTAAGGTCCATAAGAAAAAAAAAAAATCCACAAGAAATAGAATTCAGGCTGGGAATGATGAGGCCAAGTGTTTAAAACCATATTTTAAAACAATGCCTCACCTAGAAGCCCAATCTATAAAGTAAGGTGGAATGGGTATGCGTGTGGGCGTGGGTGGGCTCTGTGTGCTTTGCTCCCTTCTTTGAAACTAGAGATTTCAAAGATACCGCTGGTGCTTTGTGAAGTGTGAGAACAACTGCCTAGATAATGAGGGCTATGTTTGCAGCTTAAATTTGTATTTAAATGACTGATTCTGCTGCCCACAGAGGTTGGTGTCTCTCTAGAGAATATTTGTTCCGGACCTGAATGAGATAATACTGTAACTATCACTAAAGGTTAGCTTCTTTTGGGAAAAATGCCAACATCCACTTACCAGCAAATGAAAACCCTATTCTAGTGCTCAGGATCAAACAGGAGATTTGTGTGCAATTAAAACTGACTGTGTTCTCGATTTAGATAGCAAACACACGAGCTGAGGATTAGAATTTGGCTCAGACTCTCCTATTCAACTTTGTAGTAGAGTAGCCCCTTCTTATCTGTGGGATTACATTCCAAGACCCCCCAGTAGATGCTGAAACTGAGGATAGGCCTGAACTCTAAATATACTGTTTTTTTTTTCTGTACGTAGATACATAATTTTTCACTTAAAGGAACCACGTTCTGCTTCTCTTTAGCATATCCAAATGACAGCATCACTACTCTTGAGCTTTGGGGCCACTATTAAATACAATGAGGGTGACTTGCACACAAGTACTGTGATACTGTGACAGTTGATCTGATAACACACAGGGCTACTGAGCGACCAATGGGTGGCTAGCATGTACACCATGGATATGATGGACAAAGGAATGATTCATGTCCTGTTCGGAGAGAGAGGGACAGTGTGGGATTTCATCACGCTACTCAGAAGGGCGTACAATTTAAAACTTATGAATTGTTGCCCTGGCAGGTGTGGCTCAGTTGGTTGAACATCATCCTGTGCACAGAGAGGTCGATTCTGGGTCAGGGATAGATGTTTCTCTTTCGTTCTCTGTCTCTCTCTCAAATCAGTAAAAACATAAATAAAACTTATGAATTGTTTATCTTTGGAAATTTCCATTTCATCTTTTCAGATTGTGGCTAGAATAGCTGAAACCATGAAAATTCAGAACCGCAGATGGGGGGGGACGGGACGACTCTACTCAGTAGCTTAAATAGTGACAGTTGGTCTGTCCTTCACTAATTGCTCCTCCCCCTTTTTCTTTGAGCAGGAATGTGTTTGTATACAGAAGAATAAGGATCTTTGTGGATGAAGTGGTGGAGAGGAAGGTAGTGTAGGGCGGGTAGAACAAGGAAAGGAAATCTTCCCTGAATCTTCTGAGAATGAGATACCACACACTACATCATGTCAGGGAGAGGAGGGAGCAAGCCCATGGCAGCTTGCTAGTTGTCTGCCAATGTTCATTCGCCCCTCTCTTCCCAGTAATAACACCTAAATATGTCAGCTGGGAACAAAGTTTGAAAAATCAAAGTGGCATTTCTGAGTTTCCATTGTAGCTGAGTAAAGTCATGTTATTAGGTTCAGGGCAAGGGGAATGAAGTAGAAGTGCTGTATGGAAGCTCTGAGGAACTTCCTTAAAGGACAGATGCTCTGCCCCTGGTCCTTTCTCCATCTTTCTGCCTTTACCCTTCCTGCTGGCTGGCCTCAGATCAGGTGGCTGGAGTAATGCCCCAGGGGATGGAGGCCACACAAGGTGAAGTAATAAGAGGGAACCTCAGTTTTGTGGGGCAGAACTCGATTTGCCCACATTCAGATTGTAATCTGAGAGAGTAACAAACTTCTATCTCCTGAAAGGAACAGTGATTTAGGGTCTTCATTACTTGTGACAAACTTTATATTCTACCTTACTTGTGTGTGAGTGTGACTGACTGTGTGAGTATGAGTGATATGTCTGAATGTAGGTGTGTGTGGGAAATCTGAAAAATTGAGGATGAAAGAATCCTATATAATAAAAGTCTAATATGCAAATTGACCGAACGGTGGAATGACCAGTTGCTATGATGTGCACTGACCACCAGGGGCCAGATGCTCAATGCAGGAGCTGCCCCCTGGTGGTCAGTACACATACACAGGGGGAGTGTCACTCAGCCAGAAGCTGGACTCACAACTGGCGAGTGCAGAGGCAGTGGTGGGAGCCTCTCCTGAATCTGCTGCAGGTGGGTGGTAAGGAGCTAGGGGTCCCAGACTGCAAGAACCCCGGACTGTGAGAGGGATGTCTGACTGCTGGCTTAGGCGGACATCCCCAGAGGGGTCCTGGACTGTAAGAGGGTGCAGGCTAGACTGAGGGACCTCCCCCCACAGTGCACAAATCTCATGCATCAGGCCTCAAGTAAAGATATAAGAAGTGAAAGCCTACTTCCTCAATCTTTCCACTTTCGCAGAGGAGAATATGAGTTAGAGGGATCCACACATGCAAAAAAATTGTATTGTCTCCCACCCTAACAGAATTCTAGAGACCCATTCAGAGTCTATGGGCCTTTGTGAAACACATCTCATGCTTTGGCTTGGTTTTACGTCAATGGGTTAAAGATGTGATTAAAAAAAACAAAAAACTCTGCTAATCACAGTGCTTGTAGCCTTTATTTTTTCCCTTATACATTTTATTAGCATTTAAAAAAACACAACATTCAGCATGCCAGAGTGAGGAAATTATGGGAATATTATCTTCAGGGTTTAATGTAGTGAGATAACAGAAAATAGTCAGCCATGTGCTACCAGTCAGTTTATAGCATAAGTTGGTGTGGCCATTTTCATGGTGATTTCCCATAGGTGTGGGCCGATGTTCATTCTTATTGTATAAGGCAAACCAGCAATAAACATTGGCCTAGAGAGTTTAGGCTAAAGAAAAATTGGGGTAGGTATAAAAATTCAGTTGTTGGTTCTATTTTGTAGGGGACTTTCTGCTGATGCTTCTAGGTACCTTCTGAATCTAGCTAAGAAGGCCAGACAGATATTCAGCAGCACTTATTAGGCACCTTTTGTGTGCTGAGTCTTCTGCTGGGACTCAGCACCAGGGGAGACCAAGACAAAGAAGATAAGCAGACAGTGGGAGAGTTTTGGATCTGTGTATCTTAAGCAGAACAGAAAGAATTTGTTTGTACCCCTAATGCTGAAAAAAAAAACAAACAAAAACCTACTTCAAAGGCTGCTTTTATGGCTTGAAAAGGATGCTTTATGGATCTCTTTACAGAAATTACTTTCTTATTTTCATTCCCTATAATTGTTCTAATCAAAGCTTAGGGGAAAATGTGATTACTGAATTTAAAGTTGGTTATTAAATGAGTATACATGAGAAATGTAAATTAAAAACGATAATATTTTAAGACTGGAAAGTAAAACATTAGTATCATAGTAAGAAGTTTCTATTTTCAAGGACATTTTATGATCTAAAATTTCATTTTACAGTGAGTGTCTGAATAACAATGAAGCTTGAAATGATTTGAAAGCACTGAAAGATCTAAAAACTAAATATGAATAAAAATTGAAAGCACACAGTGCAGTCTGAACTTATCAGCATCACACAACAGCCTATTGACATATCTCCAGTCACCTGTATAACAAAACAGACTTACCAATATGTTTGTGGTATAGGTATTATCGAACGATACCTTTAATCTTGGGTTTTCTGTTACAGGTGTTAGAACCTGTATCTCTAAACACTGCATATGCGCACAGTGCCTTGCATGTTCCCTGTTAAAGCTCCTCTCATGTTGCCTATAATTAGTGGTTTACCTTACAGCTTTCCTAATTAGGATGTGAGTTCCAAGAATGAACGGCACAGATCTTATTCATATTTATAGTTATATTTATATTTTTTGTCCCTTGCCAATGTTCTGGAACTCAATAACTATTTAATTAATCAATTGATTAATCCATCATCCTATATACTATATGCTTAATACAGTTCTATCCTATGACAGTATAATACTCTCACATACCTTCATATACCCAGAGAGAGTGAGAAATAGAGATGGGGACAGCTGAGAGAATCAATATTTTGTGGTTTGTTATTGGTTACAGCTTCTCTGTTTCTAGAAACTCCTGAAGAAACACATTTGACCAACATGATGGGGTTCATAGAAAACAAAGAGCAGGGAGAAATGGCCATGATTTTTTGGGCCATGTGAAACCCTCCGTTAGCTTTTTCATGTTTGTGGGATTCCTCTCCTTTTGTCTCCTGCCTCCTGTCTAGAGGTTCACCTGTCCAGTTTCTCTTGCAGCCACAGTGCTGTAAAGACTGCCAATCTGATGCAATCATTCAACCCTCTGGGGACTCCACTGGGGTCGGCCTGAGGGGGCAGCAGTGACAAGCATCCCAGTGGTGGTGGCTTAGGTTCTCGCCGGAGCAGTCAAGTGTAGCTTCCAAGCCTGATTTTTAGATCCTCCCCAGGTTCTGTGAATTACCTAATATCTTTTTATAAATCCATTTCCTGCTTAAACTAGCTAGAATCTGCAAAATGAAGACTGACTGAAAAGGAGCATATAAAAGATACACAGAGAGCAAGCAACTTGGATAAGTGGGGAGGGGAAAAAGGGAAGGAGTGCTCCTTAGTCAGAAGAGTAGGAACAATTTAATGTTTATATGAAATTTAAATGAAACAAAGATCTGTTAAGCTCCTTGTATAGAGCATACTTCATTCTGATACTTTATTGT